ACAATTTGTTTGCTCCTGTCTACACTTTCCATCTTCTGTGCTTTTCTTTTGTTGCCGTCAGTACGCAGTTTGACCACATAACATATATGTGTCCATTGTTGTCATTACCTTCTCGCCGTAGGGTCATCCTGTTGAACCATAGTTCGCAGAAGATTCTTTCCGGTGTAATTCGCTCTGACTTTGGATGCGTCCGGTTCCTGCAGATGTGCAATTTGTTTTTTGAGTAAGCTTTTGCTTCAATTTTTTCTTGGCTATCGGTGCATATCTAACTTGCATTCTACTATTTCGCAAGTTCGCCGGGATTCATTTGCGGGTTGAGTTCTCCTGGCTTTGATAATCGCTCATCATGACTTATAATAACGGGCTAAGGATGTTTACGTGACTTTGTGTGTGTGTTTGTGTGTCTGTTACGAAATTCGTGGAGCGTGTTCCAGCCAGCGTTTTAAGCCCAAATTTTGTATAGCGCATGCTACCTTCGTGAAAGTCCAACATGCAAAAGCACGAGTACATTCGTTGAGTGGATCCCTCAGAAATTGCGCGCCGAACGGGTCCACCTGGCTTCTGTACCGCAAAATTCGGTCCGTATCACCACTTTTGGCAGAGTCGTGGATGAGTTTGGTAAGCAAATGTGCAAGCGATGGAGTTTAGCCAGAAAAGTGGTCGAAAGTTTACTACGTAACGAAAACGGCGCCAAAACGAATTGGTTGTGTAAATAGTCAAGTTTCCAAGGTTCTAGCTAAGCGTTTGAGAAGATTTTCGCACAGAGATGTAGCTCACGGTTATCATTACCTTTACGGCGACTACCAAGTTATGACAAATCCAAAACCTATTCAAATTTGCGTCTGTCTTCCTGCGAAAAGTTTCATCCACGCGAATCACCGATCTCACGTGAAAAGACTTTCTAAATGAGTGGTTGTTTACATTTTATTCGTGGTAGTCGGCATAGCGCGGTGAGTTCCAGTGCCACGATTTTACGAGAATGAGTAAGGCACATAGATAGTAGAGCCAGTGCGAACCTCTGCGAAGCAGAGGTGACGCACTGGTTTCAAATAAGACAGATTGCAAAAGAATGTGAGTGCGACAGGATACAATGTGTGCGGAACGGAACAATGAACACAAATGTATTGTGGGGGAGTTGAACTGCATATTAGCGGTAATAAGAAGAAATAAGCGTAGAAGATGAAAAGCGTAGGCAGGAGCACTTGAAGTAGTAAGATTTTGACGATTTTGTTCCTATAACAAAGGCGGCCAGCGGCGGCTATGGGCTGCCATAGGCTGCTGGCGGCTGCTACGGGCTGCTACGGGCTGTTGGCGGCGGCTGCCGGCGCGGTATGAAGGCACCCTAAGGAATGTGCTCAAATGAGGAGTGAGAGGCAAAGAAGCGAGAGGTGTCTGAACCACGTATTTCTCACAGGCCATACTTATGCTTTTGTACATTTATCCACCCATCTGTGAAATATGAACGAAGACTAAGTAGCGAAAAGTGAGTGGGTCGTCATCGTCAGGTATATCTCAAGCCTAAGTAGTAAAGTAGAAAGCGCGACAGCGCCTTCTACTTTACTTCTTCTATTGGCTGGAGGTATCTACGTATGCCTACATAACTAAGCTGCCGAAACTGATACACAGTGATTTTCACGAACAGTTAAGCTCGAAATCCACCTGAACTTACAACGCTCACCCGCAAGCTACTATCCATTGATAGAAAACTCGAAAACGCTTTGTATCTACAAGTTTTCTAAACATGCTCGAACTGATTTTATCCAAGTGATCTATCATCAAAAATGAGATAAGTCAAAAGTACTTTTGAGAAGCGTTCTTGAGTTTCAGAGTGAATGATACTTACCTCTTGACACTTGGGTCTGCAGCTTTCTTCTTCTTACGGCTGCCGTAGAAGAAACATGTTCGGTAGAAAGCCCCTCTCTGTTTAAGCACAAACAAATCTTACTTTCTGCTAAGTTCTTGAGGCACCTATTAATGAAAAATGATCTACATGGCAAGAGATGAAAGTTGAATCATCGCACGTTAACAACGGCACTTGTTCTTGTGATTCTCCTGCAGAAAGGAGTCGTTTTCCCTTCAGTGTCACTTGTTTTGCGCTGAAAGTTATAGGGTGTGCGCCCTTAACCGCCAGGATTCCCGCGCGGAATACAGATTTGCACTGGGACATGGGGCGCGCTCTTCGCAGCCATTTGTAACTATAGGTACGAGTGAGAATCTGGGTGGACGGTGACTTTAGGGATCGTTCAGACCGCGCACAAAGGCGCACGGAGGCGCGTCTTGTCTCGTCTCGTTTATCTCGACACGCACACTCACTCACACGCGCCTTAGTGCGCTCATGCGCCTTCGTCCACCTTCGTGCGCCTTCGTGCGCCTTCATGCGCCTTCGTGCGTCTTTGTGCGCGGTCTGAACGATCCCTTAATGGGTCATGTCCCTCAATTGACATTCAAATACCTGGATTTGTTGTTATTATTTGTGAGGTTTCAGGATTAAGTGACTGAAAAGTCTTGCAGCTTCGTATTTTTTTGCTTTCCTCTCGGGCATGGCCAAAAGACGACGTCGGTCGTCAGGAGGAAAAGATGGCAACTATCATCACCAGTCTGCGAAGAAAAGAGAAGTCGTTGAAGATATTTCTACGGAAAAGTATCGTTTTCGAATTAGTTTCACTCCCTGGGTTCGGCACTCGATTTTTGCAGGACCTCTGCTAAATCAGACGGTTGTAGTTCCTCCGGTACTGATACGAAAAGGTGATGTTTCCGTTTAACCTCTCATAGGGCTGCTCAGCTTCTGTAACAGCTTTTTTCAGCACCGATGGCGCTACTACTGTTAATAAACGAGATCATTCACTGTGAGTTAATATTGATTTTTGCTTCTTACTATCGAATTATCTGTATATAGAGGTGTTTCATCACAAGAACTAAGCTCGGTAATGCAACAAATCAAACTCAGTTCACCGGAACCGCCATCAAAGAAGTCAGTGAAAGTTTGATTCGAGTTTTAGTTGATTCCGAAGTTTTTGAAAATGTAAAAGTTCGTAATGAAATGCATGCGGTTCAAGTAAGGGGACAAGTAATGTGTCACGCGCTACACGGAAGGGTAGTAAAGGAAGAAGTTCGAGGAGATTAATTCAGAGGAACAGCCACGCCAAGGAGAATTCTAGGTTAGTCTATAGAAATCGATTGTCTATCAGCATGATATCTTGATCTTCAGTCAGAAGCAGTCAACTACATCTGAAAAAGACGATGAGGTTGTACACGATAGCCAGGAAGCAGTAGATTCTCCTGCAGAGGTAGGTCACTCCCTTTTAGAATTATTTAAAGGCAGTGTCCGGGCAAGAACTCGATTTTGAAATTTTGTGCTACCCGGGCCTATTCGCTATGCTGAATCCAAAAATCCACACTGAAGAGCGCGGAAACGGCGAAAAACGGCTTAGGCGAAACGGCGCAGGCGGAAAGTAGCAGGTGGGCGGGGTCTTCCCCACTGTGAATTCACGCTTCCAGCTTCCAGAGCAATTTTCTCGAATCCGTTAGCCGCCCTAACATCACTATCGATCAAGTGCAAACGAATGACCTGAAACCGGAATCAAAAAGATCGTCCCCGAAGCTGGGAGGGTGAATTCACAGTACGGAAGACCCCGCCCACTTGCTGATTTCCCTCCAGTGTTAGAGCCCTTTTTCGTCGTTTTCGCGCTTTCCAATGTGGATTTTCGGATTCAGCATAGCGAATAGGCCCGGGAGCACTAAATCTCAAAATCGAGTTTTTGCCTGGACACTGCCCCTAAAAGTTTTTGATTTTGCAAATCGTTTCCTTCAGGTTTTGTGATCGTTGTGTCTGCTTTGGAAAAAATACCCTTGTTTAGATGACTTTTTAGCCTTCAGATGAGAAGCTCTTGAAGGAACCCGCAGAGATACTTGCCCTATACAAACGCCTCACCGGCATCGAGCGCAAGCCTCCAGAAAAAGTAGGGGATCCGTTGCGAAATGGTCGGTCGTCGATATAGGTTTTTCGTTTGACTTTTGTCCAGACTGGCTAGTTCTAGAATATCGACAGCTGTTTTGCGTTGGAACCATATGTGAGAATCTGAGTAACATAATGACTGCAAGACTTGCATCAGGTTAGTTTTTACAGTGCCCCAGGGAGATTCACACCAACGCCTTTCAGCGGGACAACTTCGGAAGCAGCGTTTAGATTCTCTGACTCAACTTAAAGCCTTGACGTCACGACTCGAGGATATGAACTATGCTAATTCGGCGATAGAAAAGTAGTAAGTGTTTCTTGAAAGAGGAATGTTCTTACTACTGGTTTCTCTTCCGTCTTTGTTTTGATGATGGTGCTCAACGGGACGCTCTCGAGGTAATGAACATCCGATACGAAGAGTTATGTGATGATATCTTTGGCGTAGGTTAATCAGTTCTGAGTTGAGCTGTTTCTATGTTCACGGTTTCAGGCTGATGACGAGTTTTTGTCAATGTTCGAGAAAGAAGCATCTAATGCGGAAGATAAGGAGCGGTCGTTCACTCAACCGGGCGCTTTACATGCGGGTATTCAATCAAACTATGCTGTTGTTTGCATGGAAAGTAAATTAACGGTAATGAATCACATAGCTTATCAAATGCAGTGTCGGCTGCACCAGCTCTCCTCTCCCGGGCGGCCGCCTCACCTGCCCTCTGCGTCTCTTTCGCGGACGTGCTCTCTATCACTTCCTCACCGCGAGCGTAGGAGAGGCGGAGCTTCAGTCGATCGCAATGATTGGAGAGCATGTTCGCGGAAGAGGTGCAGAGTCCAGCGCGGAACAGAGATACTAGTGCACCCGACACTGCAATTGATAAGCCCTGTCATATCATCACTGGTCAGCCATGGACGATAATTTATTCAGGAAGTGGGACTACGTTATGTGGATAAAATGTATGAACAAATCAAGCAGAAAAATGCAGAAGTAGAAAAATGTCGTTCTTTGAGTAAGTCTGAATATTGAAGTGTTTGCACAAATTTCAGTTTTCATTTTTGCTTTGAAGTTCTTCCCTTTGTTTTTGGCATAATTTGATTGTTTTGTGACCAGCGGTTGCGGCTTCACTAAGCCAAGGCATTAGCATGAAGAGATGACTGTCAGCTAGCTGGCATCCCTTGTAATTATAAGAGCGCTACGGTAACTCCTAGCCGCATGCACAGGCTCTAGAAGAACAAGTACATACGCCATGTTTCCACTCCTATCTTTTCATGCAAGTTTACGATGAGGTCTGCATATGGTTTTTTTCTTGATTTGGATCTATTCGCTACCAGCAGCAGTATGTTGACATTACCATATTGAACGCGTTACTTATAGTCATCAGAAACTTAATGGTACCTAAATGAAGTAGTGGTGGTTTTGCTTACATATTGAACGAAAGCTTTCACCAAATCACTGCTTCATTTGAGCGCGTGAAAAGCTGTTTGAATGATCCAGCCGCACGCTCAGTTCGCATAAAAACTGGTGAAATCTAACTCAAAATATTCAAACTCTGCGCACTGTGCGGTCGAAAATTTGAGAGGTCCGTTGCTGACACATTCTCGAAAGCATTATACAGTCAGAAAATGATGAATGAGATAATTTTCTTTATAATAGAAATTTTTGCTTGTCTATGTGCATACGCAGAGGATCTGTTTCAACTGATTCTATTAGTGTTACAGTTGCTCAACATAACGCCGATATCACGAGTATTACTTCCGAACTCATCAGTATTCATGAAGAACTCGGTAGTTTGGCTTCCGTTGTAGACACAGTCATAGGCGTATCTCCTTCTGAATATTCAAGAACTTCTATGACCAAGACAAGATCAGCATAGACTGTAGATTGAATTTAAATGCCTAGTCATAATATTCTTATTGTTTGTTACACTCGTAAATTCGTTGTTTTTTGTTGAAATGTCTCTGCTGTATCATAATAAGCTATGTTGTGCAAAAGTCTGTGAATTTGAAGTTTGCAGTCTGTATATGAATGTTGTAAGTTCACTGTTCTCTCTTTTACTTTTCTGTTTATTTGAGAATGTTCTTGTGCAAGCCTTTATTATGCTAACGAGGAAGTGGTCAGAATTTAACCCAGCCATTCCAAACAAGTTATACCTCATCGGACTCGTTTTAAAACGCTGATTTCAAATATACGTTTTTTACCTGAAATTTTTCGAGTTCCGACGAATATATTTCAAATCTATTGGAACATGCACCACAGCACACATGAAAACTCGCGCATTTAAACGCTCATAATTCCTATCAGATAGTCGTTTGCAGATAGTAAACATATACTTGTAATCAGCGTTTCAAGACGAGTCCGATGATATACAGCATGTTTGGTATGGCTGGGGTAAGTTCTGACCATTCCCTGCTGAGATTTGGCTGGAAAGTTCAAACGCAACCTCTGGACAGACAAATAGACAGATAAGACTTGCGCGTAATATTAGTGGGATAGTTCGGAAAGCAGTGTCCGGGATCGCAATGTAATGTAATCTATATATATATAAAACTCAAACACTGTACCGTGTTTGTTAGGATGTTTGTGGCTTATAGACTCCTTTGTATGTGAACCAAAGAGGCTGAATTTTGTTTCCCTATAAACAAGCCACGGCGCAAAAGATAGGCTACTTTTTTCGACAATTCGCTGGGTCCTTCTATCGATTTATCGATTTTGTTTACTAAAATCTAGGAAAGTGAAGGCTATACCATTCATTTCTCCAAGTGAGTAGTAAGGGGTGGTAGAGATCATTTACATTTTGCGGTGAGGAGCATGCGGTGTCATGAAGCAAGCCGGTCAAGAAAGAAGACTATTCACCGCGGATACTACACGAGCGCTAAAACTGACATGGAGGTGAAGCAGGAGAGAGCAGAAGATATGAACTGAAGAAAGTGGAGGACTGGTAAGTATACATCTTGAAGCACACCCTATGCTGGGCCATTCTGGACTCTCGGCCCGGGCGGGACCGGGAACCGCAGCTAGTGCGAAAATAAACTTTACTGCTCCTTAAAGACGGGGCTTACCCAAAGCGGATGCAAATGCCCCTCGTAGGTTGCATTATTCGTGAACCCGTCGTGAACCTCTTCCTACTTCTCATACGAAAAGCTTCGAGAGCTGATCATGCCTGACGGGATAATCTCGCCCATCTACAGATTTTCAAGTAGAAGTGTGTACCCCGCAAAGCCAAGTTGATAAGGTCTTACAGTCCTGCTGTATAGGAGAAGAGAGTAGTCAAAGAGTATTGCTTCTCTGCTGAACCTTCAAGCAGGCTCTGGGTGCCAGACCTCCTGATAGTACGCTGACATTTTGAATAGTTATTTGTGCTGCAGTGATAAAAGCAGAAAAGCAAATTCCTGTTTGCAAGGAAGAATGCCTGCAACTTTCGTGCCCTTCTTGTTACTGAGGTCATACAATTGCATTTTCTCGTGCTACATCAAACACCAAACCAACACCTTTATGCATTCCATTCTGTAGAAACGCTATCAAAAACAACGACTACAATCACACTCGGAATGCCGGATTACTAATGAATAACATTAGAAAATAATCGCTGCTTTTGTATCACAAGTGATTCTTCAATGCGGTCAGATGAAATACATGCGGCTTTTGAATTTGTCTGTCACCGAGACACATTCTTGTAATGCAGCGTCAGAATTCGACTGATTCGCATTGATATCGCCTGAAAATGTGACAGTTGACTGAATATATCATTGGAGGCAGTCGTCTGGACTTACCGGCTTCAAACTCGCGGCGTCTTCGCGGACGACCAACTGACATCAAAGAGGAGAGTGATGAGATCACCGAGCCGGTTTCAGACAAGCCATCGGATTCATGGACACCACTAAATTGAGGTAATTATCCGCATTGATAGAACGCCATTCCCCTATTTCGTACTACTGTAGTTTGTGAAGGCATCCACCGACTGCACGGACTGGCCGTATATTACGGAGCACGCGCGGCGTGAAATGTCACTAGGGCGCAACTTGTACACCGGCGATTTATACTGGTACAAGCGATTGGCGCGCGGCGCGTGCTCCGCAATTTACGATCAGTCCATGCGGTCAACATCTTGCTGGAACGTGACCGACTTACAGTTTTCTCTTTATATGACATCTAGCTCTGGTTGCTACTAAATCCGCATAATAAACAGGGGCTGGGATAGAAACGGAGCGTGCACAACGTCCATATGTGTGACACATTCTACAAGTAATTGAGTTAACATCTGAGCTCTCCAAAAGTTGGAGCCTGCTCACCCATAAGTGATTGCCTGCATTTCATCTGCACTAAAATTGTTGTCATCCCAAAGGACATGATATCGAGCTGGGCGAGAAGTGCCTTGTACGCCATAATGTGAGCACAAATAGAAGTCAAAGCCCTCAGGCGAAACGATTCCGGTGTCGACAGTGGTGCCAGGCGGGATATTTCTGGCTTTTCCAACCATATCCGTACTGTATTTGCAAAACATTCTGGCATGATGACGTTTCTGGACGACTACATAGGTGATTGGAGGACGATAATCTGGTGACAGAATCATGCATGCTGAGCGGATACCCTGAAAAACCCGAATGGTTGGCGGTTTATTTGGACCAAAAATCAGACCTGAATCTCTTCTCGAAGTACTTCAGCAAATTGTCCTTCAGAGACTCCATCACGGTAGACAATGATGCGGGTTGGTTTTTGATTTGTGTTCCTGAATGCACCGTTTATACTTCGCAGTCATAAGCGACAAAGTATAGCCACCAGAGTAGCAATATAACCTGTAGAATGACACCAAGCGTTCGCGAATGGCGTCGAGGAGGTAAACCACAGATTCCCGGCATTTCCTCTGTACTTTGACGTTAGCTCCATACGACTGTGGTAGCAGATCGATGTTGGCAACAATCTGTAATAATATTTCCTTTGAGAAACGTGCAAAGCTCATATGTCCGACGCCGCGCCGACGCCGTGTTAACGTTGTGCTGGAGTCATCTCAGTTCCACGCCAGCTCCATGTGCCAGCTCCGTGCAGTGCCGTACCGCAATTCATGCGCACTCATATCGATCAGTCAAGTTCGTTAGTACAATCGACACTCGTCATCACGGGCCTGGCACGGCGCTGGAACGGCGCTGGCACATGGAACTCTGGATACAGATTTATTGGCATCAGAAGCAAGCATTTCCCTACCGCTGCCACCGACGGTATATTCATACGCTCTTCGGCTTGTGTTGGATGTGTGACATCGATTCCGACTACTAAAGTTGGCTGATCTATGATGTATTTGTGGGTGATGTTATCAGCAACTATGCGACTGTTGATACCACCAAGTTTCATGTTCACCTGTAAATTGGGTTATTGGAAAACGGTTTGCGAATAGGGTTGCCAGAACCTTGAGAATGATGTTGGAGCAGGTTGCTGCGTTGATACCACTGCTTTTTTTCATCAGAACACACTGCGACATGATTCCATGGATCATATCTGAGCTTTCTTTGACCGTCACTGAAAAGAAAAAAATTCAGAATTGTTAGTACTTCGTGGAAGAAGGGGTTGAGCGATACTTACTGTAAATGTCTGAATTCTTCCCAGGCAGTACTACGATCACCAGATCACAGCTTGTACTGGTCTGTTTGTACTCATTAGCTATTTCATTGAACAATACAACAACATCATCACGACCACGACCATATTTGACAAGGTCCGGCCACTTCGGGAAGTCCATGCCCATTTGGGTAGCCTAAAAAGGAGAAATAAACTTTGAAGTGTGCTGCTCGGGGACAGCTACCTTAGCGTAAAGTGCTTGGCAAAAGCCTTGCAGCAAGTTTTGATCTCTTGGATTCACCAAAGCTATCATTGAGTAGCTTCCACAAGTGGCTGGAAGATATAGCGTCTGATTGTCCATAGACCAAGCGCCATCTTTTGGATGTACGATCGGATCCTGTAAACAAAAGCCTTGGATTTTTGAAGATTTATGGGACCAACGTTGCCCACCACCATCTTTGAATTGTCTCCAAACATGATTTGTGGTGGTTGAATGACTCTAGCCATGGTTTCGAACATTCTGGGTGAGACGGAAAGCCCAAACTCTTTGAGGAATGGATCTCGGTCAAAGCCAGCTTGTTGGCAAAGCTGAGCAATGCGTTCTTCTCGCTGTGAAGCATCCACTGCGGCTGCCTAAATTTGGATTACTGGCTTTGGAAAGGCTATAGCGAGGGGTCTTACTCTGATGATGGAGCTCGTTTGCTTTTCACTGAGCTTTTTGTTGTACTTCTGTGGTGTGTCCATCTCACAGACTTCAAGTGGGAAGAAGATGTTTCTGGTAGGCGGCCCAACATGAAGACATGGAAGTTTTGGGAAGCGCAATTCCTGCAGCAAGAGCCTTTTGAAAGTTATCAGGATTTATTAATTTTTGGCGGCTGACAGCGTATTTTTCTGCAAAGTACTGAGCAACTGATTTGATTGTCTCGCGTCCATCCTCGGTTACACCCTTGAACCTAAAAACTTCGCATGAAGATGGTCCCTTGGTCACGACAATCGTTCCAATGACTTACGTTAGCTGATCAGCTGGCATTTGGAGACTATTTACACGATATACCCGAACTGCTCCCTTCCTATGCGATATGCGAATCTTGATCCCTTTTACGGCTTCAGCAAGAATCTTCATTTCATGGTTAGAGAGCGAGAACTCCTTGTAAAGGGTACTTGGCTAAAAAGACGTAATATCATGTCCTACCACTCATGAGAGTCAGTCGTGACTCACCGATAACATCCCAGAAGACTCTTCATGTTTCTGAGGTGGGGTATGTTGTGGTCGTGTTGGATAAGTATGGTAGCCTCCACGGCCAGCACTTGCCGCGACCCCACCGCGAGTCGCGCTGTATGTTCTTCCCGGCTGGTTAGTATTGCCGTAATTGTTTCTGGAGCTAGAAGACTGGTTACGGTACGCGCCAGCTCGTTCATTCAACACGTCGCACATGAATTGTACCATGGAAATTTTTGCTTTGTAAAATGCTGTGTGGGCCACTAAAATTTGTTATTCGATCTTGATCATTAGGCCTCAATAGACGTGATTTACCATCGATGTTCAGTAATGGCTTCCAACCGCTTGCAACATGAGCTGATGAGAAGAACCCCGTCCACATCTCCTTACCACCTTCCAAGTCAAGAGCCAAAGCACCGTTGATAGGAATACGGTAGCAGGAAGACTTCCATGAGTAGAAATTGGCCGCATTGCTAAATGCGTTTCTTTTAGAAAAAATACCTCTCACAGGTAAGATTTGATCTACTCGATGAATGGGCAAGTCAAGCTTTGTCGACAGACGATATCCAAGATCTGTATGGGAGTCAAAACCCTTTCGTCCAAGTTATTAGTGCGGGTACGGCGCATCTCGATCAGAACTGGTCCGACGCACTAAAACTCACTTTTCGGCCATCCAGTAGTTATAGTCTTAGGCCCCGGACAGACTTCACGCGATTTGATCGTCGCGACTGAATCGCGACGAGACAACTGTTACAACATCATTCCATGCTCAACTTGCATTTCGGTTGTGATACTTTTCCAGCCCGAAATTTTTGAATGTGAAACGAAAATGAATGGAAATGTCGGCGATTGAGTCGCGACAATCAAATCGCGTGAAGTCTGTCCGGGGCCTTACACGGTAGCTATACCTGAAATGATACAGCACAAGGAGTGCGTTCTCGAGAGTCTTTCGCCAACGGAACATCAGCTTCTAAGCGCATCTAAACAAGCAACTGTGAAGGACGGCACTATTGTGAACCCCATAGTAGATTGTAGAAAACCCACAGAACTCCGTTTCTCCGGAAACTCAAGACGATAAGGAGTGTATAGTTGGTGTGCGCCATCGAATGCAACGGCAAATTTATTGGCGAAAATTGCTGGGTGATCAGCCACAACTTTCCAGAAGATGGCGCGATTTTCGTCTCTGGAGAGGAAAGCGCTTGTAGGAGCTGCTGTGAATGTAGCGAATTTCAGCTTAGAAAATTAACGGACTAGTTTGATCAATTTCTGCGGTTTACTCTGTTATATTAACCCTTTCTTTCGTTTGCTGTCCTAAATACGGTATTGGGACAGGTTTGAGAATGGATTTCTCGTCTTTGAATGAATCATTTGCGTTGCTGCAGACGACACCTTTGGTTGCACCTTACAGCCAGTATTGACATCAAAGCCCTAGGCAGGTTTGTCTGTAAGCTGCCTCTGAAGGCAGTAGTCCAGGCATCACTGGACAGATGGTTTCTGAGTGAATCCTAGTGGGAGTCTTTAATGACATTGACTGGGCAGTAGATGATTCATTTATGGCTGGCAAATTCTGCGTCAAATCCTTCAAACCCTGCTCCATTATCTATCCAATGCAGGACTAGTATCGCTGCATGCATTCGCGTGGGCACCATCCACGAGAGTGATTGGTCGTCATGGAAAGCACACAACGGTGAGGGTCGGGCATACATCACGCGATTTCGCCTCCTCGCAATTCTCCCGACAAGACAACTGTTACGAGTCCTTTGCACGCCGATCATCTTGCATTTCGGTTGTGTAGTTTTCGTGAACAATCGACTAACTGCTAAAACCGAAATGCAAAATGATCAGTATGCAATAGATTCATAATAGTTGTCTTGTCGGAAGAATCGCGTGATAAATGCCCGGCCTGTACAAGTCTTGCCCTGAAATATATGGAGCAGGGTTTGAGGGATTCGGGGCTGGTAAACTCCCTGCCCGCGAATGAATCATTTGCGCTGCTTCCTGGTCTTGGAGGCAGCATTCAGGCAAACATTTGGGGCTAATCAAAAAATTGCTCAAGCGGTGACGCAGTGTACTCGTGAATGAGTTATTCATCCTTAAACCAGACCCTGCAATTGGCGGACTACTTGCATCGGCTTGCATAATTTTGCGTAAGGAACGTCCTTCTCAAGCGGTGAATCCCCACACGAAAGCGTGCAAGCCGGTGCAAATAGTCTGTCAAAATGAGCTAGCCGGGTCCAGTTTGGAAATGAATATTTTAGGTGCAAGTGTACCATCTGCGCTGCCGCTAGGGCAGCTTAGTTAGGCCGCCAGATCGGTTTCGTATTATGGCACCCGCCATACTTGATCCGCTTAATCCACTTGATCCGCTTGATCCGCTTCATCATTGGTCAGTTCACTGTATTGACCAATGATGAAGCGGATCAAGCGGATCAAGTGGATCAAGCTGATCAAGTATGGCGGGTGCCTATCTCGGCCTGTCCAGATTTGACCGGACGCTGTCTTCAATACACTTCACTTCGCACATGCGGGAAACTTTGCTTCACCCTCTTACTTATCAGAAAAAGCTGCCGCAGGGTGTGTCCCGTGGGATGGCGGTCATATAGAAACTCTTATTACGGTGGTGCGAATCGCTATCTATCCCGTTTCCTGCATGCTCAGTTGGATGAGCAACCTTTTCTTAAGGTGGAGGACTATATGTCACCGAATTTGGAAGAGTCCCGCGCGGATTCCCTGCAGGAACGCATGTCCGCGCATGTACAAGGGTGCGTACTTGTCGCAAATGACCGCGGGGACAGGCCTTTTTCGGCGACATATAGTCCTCTACCCCTTTTCTTGTAGTCCGCTTTTTTCTGAAGGTCACCCACTATTTGTGGTAGTGACTGCCATCCAAGATAGTGCAGCTACCACTTGTGATTTCTTCTTCATCTGATTCACATGACGTGAATCTGCTTGACAGATTGGCAGACAATCGCGTGTTAGAGAAGTAATTCTAGGGCTTCACTACGAGCCGAAGGCTCAATGATAGGCAGCTTTCTTGCAGAGCTGCTCACTCTCTAGCACACCCTTTGTTTCATTAGGTGTGGCGGATAGTGGGCGGAGCTCCAGGCTCTGCATCTTTCTTGCGAGCGTGCTCTTCAATCATTTCTGAGGCTCAAAGGGCGTCCAATAGCATTCCCTACTACCGTACTTAGCGGACGACTTGCCTCGACTTGCAGGGTTTCGCGCGGGAACCCAGCACATGGGCACAAGTCGTCCGCTGAATACGGTAGCGGAGTCTGATTTTCGAGGCAAATATCTCATCCGCAAGGGCACTATCTGCGCTGTCGTTTTGGCAGTGTCTTAGGGCTCCAAGAAAGATCAGTTTCCGGGTGCGATTCTCATGTGCCCAGATCTGCGCGGACGCTGCCTTTGATCAGCGATCGCAGCTCCGCACTCCGCCCGCCACTCCCAATGGAACAGAGGGTAGACCAAGCGACGACCCTGACAGCGGCCTGTCGATTTCACCGGTAGTCAAGTGCTACATTTAGGAATGACCAACTCTAATCATCGCTTATCATTTCGAGTTTTAGATATCTTTACACTTTGTAAAACAACTTTATTCTGCTCGGTCGAATCAAATTGCACCCACCGGTCGAGTTTGCGACTTCCAGGATGGTGCACTTCAACATGATACTGTATAACCATCATATTAGAACTAGATAGATCAATTTCAAAGAAGTTTGAGCGGATAGCAATGGGGCGGCCAATCTGGCCAACACCCGGTCGTGCTGCCACTTCTCTGACGTTCATGCATGCCAGCTCCTACAAAGGGGATCTGTCTAGGAAGCAGTCTTGTGCGATGTTCCAGGGTCCCATACTTGTAGCAGTAGAGGCGACAAGTCTCTTGGCGAACCAGTGATTCGTGACGAATTCGACGGAGAGCTCTTTCGTGGTGACGCCGACAGATTGTCCGGAGAGTGGATGCCTGGAACTGTAAACGTTAGAGTATGTATAGCCCCGTTTACCGCTGAGATACAGCATTTGGAGCAGTTCTCCGCCGCCGCACACTGACCCGAATCTCCGGAGTCCTTGTCGCTGTGCGTCAACTCCGTGTAGGCAGGTGCTTGCATGTGATGATGAGGCCTATGCCTCGCCGCTGGATTCGGAATGTCCGGAATGTTTGCGTTCGGTGACTGCGGTTTCTTGAGAACCGCTTGCAGGCAGAGCGAACTAAGCAACTGAGTTGGAATGACTCTAAGCTCATTTTTATAGGCTTGAAAGGAAAACAAGATAAGTGCTTATCCAGTGATTAGATGTTTTCAAACAAAATTGTTTTTCTGCATCAAATTCGCTATGGTTTTTCAAGTTGAATTGGTCGTGTAAGTCCCACACCAATTTAGAGGTCCAAAGTTGGATCATGCGGTCAGTGCACATATCGTCGTCGACCGCATGATTTGGCCGCAGACTCGGAGAGGCGCAGCGTGGTCGAAATGTCATGAGCATGATTTGTACAATAGCGATTTGTACTGGTACAGGTTTTCGGCCGGGCTGAATGTTAGTTGAATCTTATTTCCCTAAAATGAGAAAACTAGGCAAAGCTGGATCCCATAATATGTTCGCTTCACCACAATTCCGTAAAAGGCGCAGTAGGACAATGTCGATAATGTCTTAGTGATTGCTCAAGTTCTTCCTTATTATTTCAACTTGTCCCTTAGTGTTGTAGAGCCGTCCCTTATATTGGAACTTGCTCGCTCACTATAGGCTAGGTCGATATGGTCTCTGTGGTTGCGGCGTACCCGCCGCACTTTGATATATTTTGTGTGTTGTTCCTGAGCTATTTCTAGTGAACCCTCGGCATGTACGCCAATAGGCAGAGGGGGAACTGTTGTGTTTTTCTAATAAATCGTCAACGACTCAACGCGTTCTACTACAACTGGCGATCAGGATCAAGGACAAGAAGCCTCCACCGACCAAGGACCAAAAGCCTCCACCAATCAAGGACAAGAAGAACTGCTGCAGCTCGGATTGGGGAGGAAACTGTCACAGGTCGAGGACAGCCAAACAAGTAAGCTCTGCTAAGAAGATTGTTGATTCTACAGAAGAAGTCGTTGAGGAGAGGTCCACCATGCCGAAAGCCAGTGAAGAACGGCATGGTCACGACTCCTTGGAGAAGGTCCTATCAGTCATGGTCGACCAGATGCGGCTCCAACAGGAGGAGATGAAGCTGCATATGCAGCTTCAACAGGAACAAATGCAGGCTCGTCTACAAGCTCAACAAGAGCAAATGCAAGTGCAGCTGCAGGCACAACAGGAGCAAATGCAAATGCAATGGCAAGCACAACAGGAGCAGATGAAGACGTTGGTCACTGCTTTGACCAGTAACCAAAGGGTAGCCGTCCAGGACGCCAGTAAGGACCAATATGACCAGCTGAGCAAGGACATGCAGAGATTTACCTTAGACGAGGAGACAGGTAACACATTTGCTTACTGGTATGGCAGGTATGGACCGGTCATTCGCGAGTCCCAGCTTCCGGATCAGAAGAAGCGCGACTTGATTCTGATGAAGCTGGATGAAGAAGCATACAGGAAGTACGCCGATGAGGTTCTGCCAGCGCAACCAAGCGACTTGGACTTCGATACTACCGTCGCGAATCTCCAGAAGCTGTTCGCCTCCAAGAAGACGCTCATCAGAAGACGTTATGAGTGCCTAAGGATAACGTGCCCTCCGCTTACGTCAGCGTACGTACCGTTCCGGGAGTACGCCAATACTATCAAGCGGATGGACGAGGACGCCCGGCTTAAGGAGGTCGACTACACGGCGATGAAGACGCTGCAGTTCGTAGCAGGTCTTCAAGATCCCTCGCTTAGGGAAGTTCGCCTTCGGATGATTCGTCGACTGGACGCTCACACGGACGAATACCGTTGACAATCGAGGACCTAGTCACGGATTGTGAGAACTTCACTGCTTTGAAAATGGATAACACAGACATGGAAGGCACACGCGACATCCATGCTGTATGGAAGAAGAAGGTAAACTGTTTCTCATGTGGAGGACCACATTTCAGAAAAGACTGCCCACAGTCTGCCAGCACTGGCCGGAAGAAGCGACGGAGGATAAGTGCAAAACGCTTTGGTCGCAAAAGGCAGTGCAAGCATAGGTGCGATAGGGGGAGCCGGGCTCTCCCCAGGTGAAGGGGGTCTAGGCTGTTTCCGACCTTCCAGGGTGAAGGGGGTATGTGAGTCTAGGGGGGGGGGAGGAAGAGAGAAAAGGTAAAAAAGCGTGGTATGAAGAGCTCTAATTTGTACCTTATTTAGGCACAAATTGAAAAAAAATTTAAAATTTTTCAAAAGAAATTAAAAAATCAAAAAAAATTGATTATGAAGATCTGTGCTCCTGTTTCACTGCATCAACAAAAAACGAAAGCAATAATGTTTATCCCAAAAGATGTACAAGTTAGGAACAACTTCATTTCCTGCACATCATCATCAACAATATCACTATCGCTAACGTCAGAGACAACAAGTTCGCTGCCTGAAAAATCTTCTTCTTCCTCCAAAAGGTCATCGGAGTAGAAGTAGAATTGCGTGCAAAAGCGTTCTGAGTCGAAAATGGATTTGAAACTTTCTTCTTCTTTTAAGCGGTTTTGTGATTTTTTTCGTGGCCCTCTGGTAGCACCAGGAAGTCAGCAGGTAGGTGACCAGTTTCTTCATACCTTTTTTTAGGATATTTCAAAAAGTCATACGGTAACAGCCTGTCTGGACCACTTATATCAATCCTTTAAATGAAGTTTTCAGATAACAATGGTAGAAGGTTGACAAATCTTAAGTATTTGCTTAGATGCTCTATCGTTGTACGACTTCTGCGTTGTGTTCTGATAACAGAGTAGATAGAAAATTTCTTTCTCTACCTCTGCCGTGCTAGTCGGAATGGAAACTAGCTTTGCTAGTAGGCCCATCAGATTTTTGCGGTAAGTAATGGGAAAAGAGCCAAATCTCATATGCTTTCGCAACACGGGAAGGAAATAGTGTACTTTTTGGGCCTTGTCGAACTCTGGCTTCACCTCCTCTGGCATACGTCCTGTTAGCTGATCAGAAAGCTGCTCAACTTCTTCTTTACCAGCATCTGCGGAATAGCCGAAAAAAGGAGGTACTATGCTGCGCGTTGGTTTTTTTTTCAATATCATAGGTCATATTGTCACAAGGCGAATAACTTTCAAAAGCATAAAGCACAGAGTTGGGTTCGCACTCCAGCCGGGATCTAAGCGCAGTAACTATGCTTTATACTAACACCTTCCTTTTGTTCATATCCATGTTTGTGAATTTAGCAGCCTTGAATTCTTCAGCAACCTGAAGATCAGCAATGGACTTCCTGGACATTTCCTCATTGAAACTAGACAATCTGCTTGGATTCCTTATGCAGGAAATCAGAGAGTTTCACTCAATTGCCAACTCTGTATCAATGTCGACAACATTTTCGTCGGCGTAAGATTCTCCTTCTGCCTCGCTGTTGAACTGGAACACATGCGAGTCATCTGCGATTTTGTAAAGTATTCTGCCTGCCATTTTTCAAACTGCCAACCTTTCCAAAACATTGAGGAATATTTTAATAACATGTTATTCTTCCGAATGTCTTAGAGTTTTTAATTCATTGAAACCAACCATTCTCTAAAAATTAGGTAAGGTGAGTCTAGAGCGTTTTCACGAAAGTGACCTTCTTCAGCACTAGGTTTACAGAGTATAGATTCCAGAAATGGGCGGGTTTTGTGTGAAGGTGTGGAAAATCACCAATCTCCCATAGTTTTTTGAGTGTGTGCTAACAATGATGGCATAACTGTCAATCAAAAGCGCATTTTTTACCAAAAAAACGTAAACATATAACAACGATAAGCACGCTCAAATAGACGCGTTCGCTCACGTTCCCGTTAGTGCTGATAACGATTTCAATCCACAGCACATTTTTTACTATTAACTTGCTCCACCTCGCTCTTATTAGGTCGTCCAGAAAGTTTTTGCACACGAATTTCAAAATTCATAACTTCTGATTTTTCCAACCGATTTGACTGCTTCCAATTTTATGTGAAAGTGTAAGCCATGCTCTTTATAATGACATCTCAGCTGCTTACTAATGATCATCTGTTGCATAGATAGGAGCAATAGAAAAAACTTGGTCAAAATTCGAATTTTTCGTGTGCGGTCGTAAAAAATCGGAAACTTGCAACAAAAATCGGAGCAGTCAGTACTGTAGGTTCTTTCACCAGCTCTTTCTAACAGTGCAAAGTTTGCGCCGATTGAGCGTCTCTATGAAAAGTTATGGTTTCCCTGAAGAATGCCAAAATAAATCAAATTCGCCTTTTTGTACTGCTTGCTCGGAAATTATAACTTTTCATGGAGACGCTCAATCGGAGCAAACTTTGCACTGTTAGAAAGAGTTGGTGAAAGAACCTAAAATACCGACTGCTCCGATTTTGTTGCAAGTTTCTGATTTTTTATGACCCTACACAAAAATTCAAATTCCGAGTGATTTTGTTTGAGCTTCTATCTATGCAAGAGATGACCATTACTAAGCAGATGGGATGTCATTACAAAGAGCATGACTTACCCTTTCACATAAAAGTGAAAGCAGTCAAATCGGTTGGAAAAATCAGAAGTTATGAATTTTTGAAAATTGTGCTCAAAAACTTTCGGGACGACCTATACAATGTGTTGGCTTTTATGGGTTACCGGAGAAAATGATTTTTAGAGCCGGGAAGCAAAGAAGCCCTAACATGCTGTATACCATTCGAAAGCTGAGATCATGGAGAATCGACGTAGACCGTCGACTTTTTTCTAGGTCTTCTGTGCCGCGAGATATGAGGGATTTTATGTGCTTCAAAAATTAACTGATTTTGTGTCCTCACTTTCTGCTCTCCAAATGAATGCTACGAGAAAGTCGACGGTCTACGTTTGTTAATGAAGACTTGCTCTTTAACACAGATAGATAAGCAGCAGTGATTAGGTCTTCATTTGGCAGAAATCTGCTGTTGAAAATGACCATGTTTTCAGATAAAATGCAGTGTATCTCTCGGTAGAGGGGGGCTAGAAAGAAGTCGACGGTCTAGGTCGAATCCCCTTTTCCTAAGCTTTCGAATGGTATATAGGTTGTTGGGCGAAAAAACGGACCAGTTTTCAAAAATGGGGTGGAGATATTTACTATTAGCTTGCTCCAATCCGGCTCCACCAATGTATT